AGGGGAGAAAGAGAGAGAGAGAGAGAGAGCAGGGTAGGGGTACTGCGGCGTGGCTCTGCTTGGTTTGCCACCGGGGCATTGATTTGAGAGAGAGGAACACAGAAAGAGAGAGGGAGAGGTGGGGATGTAGGTCTGGAGTGTGGGGGTTTTGGGACAGGTGTTGCAGAAAGGCGAGAAAACGTTTGATGGCTCCTTGTTCAAGCTGTATTCCACCTTTGAGAGTCTGACATCGACTCCAGGGTTGGAGATGAGTGAGCAGGATCTGCTCATTCATTTTCTGAGGGCAGCGCCTAAGCAATTCCAGCTTGCTCTCTTCTTTTAGGGCCACAAGGACTGAAGGTCCTTTGGCAGAGCAGCCCTGGACTTGGAATCCAAGCTCCATGTCCAGGAAGCACCTTCTGAAGGAAGGAAGGGRCCCTCCTCCAAAGGGCGAAGGAGGAGGAAGGGCACCCTGTTTGCTACTGCAGCGTCTAGTTTTGATAGTGACGCAGCATCCCAGGGTGGGAGCCCTCCACCTGGGACTGCATCATCATCAGCTGCAGATCCTGTTCTTGCCCTGGTTGATGCTTTGATGGGTTTGGCGAAGGGAAAGGCCCCAACCCAAAAAGCACCAACCAGTCGCCAGGGGAAAGGGAAGGGACGTGCCTCTTCCCCTGGGGCCCAGAGAGTACCTCTACCACGAGACGTCCGCTGGCCAGCTGACCCACTTGATCCTTCCTTCTTCCCCTGGCATGCACTCAGGATCCAGGAGGGAGTTTGGAGGAAGAGGAAGGATAAGGGGGTCTGCCTGAGATGCGAGGGGGACCACTTTCTCAAGGACTGTCCCAGTATGCCTCGTAGGTCTGCAGGCAGCTCTAGTTCAAAAAACTAGAGCAGAGAGAGGTGGAAGCAGCAGCTCCTTCCACCAGTGTTGATTCCCTCTCTGATGGAGGCGAATCTTCACATTCTCTCGCTGGTACTTTTATTTCTAGAGTTGCATTGGCAGGGTCTTTCACTTTTGAAGACTCTGAGCTAGATGAGACGTGGGAGGAGGACGATGCTCAGACTATTGCTGATTTTTTCCTGTCCTTGCAGGAGAAGAAAAAGCACAAATTTGAACTCATCCTTCTTCGACCCTACATCCTGGGAACCAAGATCAAAGGGCTCTTGGACTGTGGGGCTACTCGCAACTTCATCTCTCCCAAGGCAGTCAGCAAACTGCACTTGGACCAGAGGTTGGTGAAATTGCGACAGCCATTGGAGGTCCGCATTGGGGACTCTTCCACGGTCAGGATTACCACTGCTGTGAAGGGCCTACCTATGTCCTTTGACAAGCAGGGAGAAGTCAGGCACCGCCTAAACTTCTATGTGTTTCCTGATGTTCACTTTGACCTTGTCTTCTCCATGCAGTAGCTTGGTGTCATCAACCCTAGGATTGACTGGCGTATCCCTAGGGTTGAGCTGCCTAACCGGCATGGGGTCTATCGCCCTTGCATGCTCGCTGACGAGTACCATCCGGCCAGCAACTGTTATTGCATGAGTGCTCACAAGTTCTTGCGATTCTCACGCCAGACTGACCACGCTCGTCTGTTTGTGGCTTATGTCAAACAGACTGATGTGGAGACTACTCCCTGTCCCTCTCAGATTCAGCAGGTGGTAGACCGCTTCTCAGATCTTATGGAGGAGCCTACTGGACTTGTCCATAGGCAAACCAAACATAAGATTGAGATCCTGCCTGGCTCGGTCCTCCCAAGGGCCGGGTCTACAGGATATCTCCTGTTGAACTTGAAGAGCTCAGGAAACAGCTAGAGACCTTGACCAGCAAGGGCTGGATCAGGCCCAGCACATCTGAGTTTGGGGCACCAGTCCTCTTTGTTCCGAAGGGGAATGGTGAGTTCAGGATGTGCGTGGACTATCGTGGTCTCAACAAAATCACGAGGAAGTCTACAGAGCCTCTTCCTCGTATTGATGACCTGTTGGATATGGTGCAGGGTTGTACTATTTTCAGCAAGATCGACCTCAAATCAGGGTACCACCAGATTGAGATGGCTGAAGGCGATGTCCACAAGACAACCTTGAAAACCAGGTATGGCACTTATGAGTACCTGGTTATGCCATTCGGTCTTTGCAATGCGCCAGGCACCTTCCAAACAGAGATGCATCGCATACTGAGGCCTTACCTGGACAAGTTCGTGGTAGTCTACCTTGATGACATCTTGGTATTTAGTCGTTCTGTCCGGGAGCATGCGCAGCATCTGGCTCTGGTCCTCCAGGCCTTACGTGCTAAACAGTATAAGATCAACAGGGAGAAGTCCTCTTTTGGAGTTCCCTCTGTGATCTATCTGGGACACGTGATTTCTAGAGAGGGGTTGGCTCCTGAGGCAACGAAAGTTGCTGCAGTCCAGGACAGGCCGCGACCTGCTAACATTCGTGATGTCCGGTCTTTCTTGGGGCTTGCATCCTACTACAAGAAGTTCATTAAGAACTTCTCAGCAATTGCAGCTCCCTTGACTAACCTTACAAAGAAAGACATTTCCTTTCTTTGGACGTCAGAATGTCAGGAGGCATTTACACGTCTCAAGGAGGCCTTGATTCGTGCCCCTGTTCTGAAGCTACATGACCCTACTTTGCCTTTTGTACTAACTACTGATGCTAGTCAGTATGGTGTAGGAGCGGTACTTCAGCAGGATGATGGGAATGGTCTGCAGCCCATTGAGTATATGAGCAAGAAGATCAAGACCAAGAAGCTGCAGGACTCTACCTATGAGAAGAAGCTCTATGCTCTTGTGTCAGCGCTCAGGCATTGGAAGCACTTTCTCCTAGGCAGGCACTTCAAGATCTTTTCAGATCACTCCAGCCTTCAGTGGATGAAGTCCCAGGGAGAGCTGAATGACAAGCTTGCTCGCTATATTCAGTTCATTGGCATGTTTGACTTTGAACTGAGACACAAGAAAGGCTGCTACAATAGAGTCGCAGATGCCCTTTCTCGTAGGCCTGACGCTCTCTTTCTGATCTCCTTTACTCACTCTTTTGGAGAGAGGACACGTCAGACCATTGCCCAGTTGCTGCCCCAGGATGAGATCTTTGGGCCTATTATGAGGAATCTCCAGGACGATCCTGCCTTTGAACCAGGGTACTCTCTGGTTTCAGGCCTGCTGTACACATGCAGCAGAGGCGAGGAGCGCCTGTGCATTCCCCAGGACCGCAAGCTGAGGACACTTCTAATGTCAAAGTGTCATGACGCTCGTGGTCACTTTGGTGTCCTCAAATCTTATGCAGCCCTGTCGCAGCGCTTCTTCTGGAAGGAGATGAGGAGTGACATGCTGCACTATGTGGAAACCTGTGAGTTATGCCAAAGGAACAAGGTGGTACGACGACCTCCCCTTGGCTTACTCAAACCCCTACATATCCCTGATGCCCCTGCACAGTCAGTTTCTATTGACTTCACTGACTTAGTCAGGACTACACCAAGAGGTATGTGTCAGGTCGTGGTCTATGTGGATCAGTTTTCCAAATATGCAGAGTTCATCCTCTTACCAGCTGAGGCTCGTGTGCCAGCCGTTCAGGCGACGTTTGCTGACAGGTGGGTTACACATCATGGACCACCCACCTCTATTGTCAGTGACAGAGATCCCCGTTTTTGCAGCAATGAATGGCAATCCTACTGCAGGGATTACCTTCATTCAAGGTTGGACATGACATCTGGTCGTCATCCTAAAGCCAATGGTCAGGCTGAAGTGATGAACCAGATTCTGTTCCAATTGCTGCGTCATGTGATCAGTCCAGATCAGCAGGACTGGGATCTCCATCTGAGTCGTGCACAGTTTGTGTATAACACGTTTGTACACTCCTCAACTGGTTTCACACCCTACCGGTTGCACTGGGGTCGTGAACCACGGCAGCCTCTCGATGATATCATCGACAAGGCTACCCCTACGCAGACACCTGGAACTGCAGAGTTCACCAGGCGTTACCGTGTGGACATAGAGCGTGCTCGTGCTAACCTGTTGAAAGCCCAAAAGGCTATGATTTAACAGGCTAATAAGCACAGGCGTCCTTCTACGATTCGCATCGGTGCTTGGGTGTGGGTACTCAGACCTGAGCTGTCACGAGAGGAGGACATTTCGCCTAAGATGTTGCCACGATATATGGGTCCATGGCAGGTCTTAGATACAGTGGGAGCTGATCCGTTTGGACCGTCCTACATCCCTCTGCATCTACAAACCTACCCTGTCTTTCATGCATCTAAGCTGCTGCCATTTACGCCAGCTGATGCATTTCCAGACAGGCCCCCACAATTCGGTCCCCCTATCCCTGGCAAGGGGTATGAGGTCGAATATGTGGAGGATGAGTCCGGGACAGGTCCAGATAAGGAGTATCTTGTGAAGTTCTTATATCAGCCACACACTGAAGATTGCTGGTTTACTCGCAAGGAACTCCTAAAGACAGCCAAGTTTGTCATCCTCAGATATGAGGCAACACAGAAAGGGATACCCCTTCGGCGCTCTGCACGCCTACGCCCCTAGCTCGGAGGTCCTCGCTTCGAGGGAGGGTAGGTCTGCAATGACTTGCTGTTTTCTGGTCGCTTGTAGCCTCTCTCTGTCGAGGTTGTACTATAGGTAGGACAGATTCGTAATTTTTGTTTGGCTGAGGACTAACCGAGAGACCTACCTGTGGGCCTATTCTGAATAGACGGTCCTATATCTGCAAATCCGAAAAAATAGATAGACAAGCCCTATGGGCCTATTTTGAATAGACGGTCCTATAGCCTATAGCCGGGTCCGGTAGAGGCCGAGAGGCCGAAACAGTCAGTCCGGTCTAGGTCGGTGTAGGCTAGAAGTAGGATGGCCACATCGGTTCAGGGCTTTTGGCAGTTGGTACCGTGTACATCGCTGTTGTGCTACGCGTGAACCGAAAGCGGTGACGGCTCAGCGTGGAGGAAGACGGGCATAGCCAGACCTTCGGAGTGCAGGCCATAGCTGGGACCTGCGCTGTACTCTGCCACCACGCAGGGGCTAACAGAGGTTTGGGTTATCGAGGTCTGCTGGAGGCGAGAGAGATTGGTGCCCTGCTGGACCCTCCTCCGGAGTGACGTCCCAGAGGGTTTGCGCTGCAGCCATAGCTGCAACTTCTTCATCTCACACGCTATCGTGTCAGGGTTTGGTGGCGCTGCTGCAGGCTTCCACCCGGGAAGCCTCCCGATCCTTCGTCATCATCAGATACTGAGGCGCTGCTCTTCTTCTTCATCCTCTGAGTGGCGCTTGGCCTCAGAGGCCTGTTTCAGGGTGGCGCTGCCCCCAGGAGTCTGTATTTGGGTGGCACTCGATGTTTCAGGGCTCAGGGGGTGTTCCGGGGGTTAATCAGGGTTGGAGAGTGAAGCGTTGCTCAACGCTGAGCAACGCACTGTAGTTCTAGAGTGATCCCGACATTTCGAGACTCTGAGTTTAATAAACAGTGTGTAACTGTGTTTGGACTATCATCGTTTCATTGGTTCCTGGATGTGATCTGCTCGGCTTTTCTCTATGACTGGTTGTGAGGATTGAATGGAATGAATTGCACTTTCAGTGTACCCTGTCATATCGAATGGACAAGTCTTCCGCTGTGTTTATCTCTCCCTGTGCGGTGTGATACTCCTATCCTCTCCCCTTCCTTCTGTGTGTGTATGAGCATGTGCAGAAGTTTATGTGAGTGAGTGTTGCCCTTCAGGCAACGTACAACCAGAATCATAACAGTTGGTATCGAAGCAGGATGAGCAGAAACGAAACGAATGTTCCGCTGAAACGGGGAAATATACACTGCCACTTTTTGATTTGTTCATGCTATTTATCCAAGTACCGTTCGGCGAGCCGCGGGGTTGGAGAGCTAGGTGTTGGCGGAGGTCGGACACTTTTCGGCTCTCTCTCTCACACACACACGCACACATACATGCGCAGAGACACACACACAGATTCCATCGACGGCATCACTTTTTGAGCAATATCAAAACGAATTGTTCTTGAGAGAGAGAGAGAGAGAGAGAGAGAGAGAGAGAGAGAGACCATAACTCTCACACACACACATTCCATCCATAGGATGAGCAAAAACGGAATGTAGCTTCCACTGAAACGTGGAAATATACAGCGCGACTTTTTGAGCAAAATCGGAATGAATCGTTCGTGTGTGTGTGTGTGTGTGTGTGTGTGTGTGCGCGCGCGCGCGCGCGCGCGAG